TTACTGATATGTTATTACTTATTGCCTTCGATACGGATTTCGATATACAATGCATAACATACCTGGATCGATAGGATCGCGGTTACGAGGGAAATATGAAAACAGTTGAATAATGTTACGTGTTTCCATACGGAGGAAATTATAAAAGAATTATGGGAGGGAAATATGAAAAGACAAATCGAGTCACGTTAACATCTAATTAATTAGTCAATATGTAAATCTGAAACATTAAAATTAGGTAAAAAATAAAATATTGTATGTACCACTGCTTTTATTGATTTCGGGTGACAAAAAGTTATCAGGCCCAAGGGCTTTCTATTGCAGTTCGATCATCAGAACCCTTATAACGCCTTGGATTCATAAATAAATAATTTATTCCTTATTCATTATATTTCAGGGGGGAAATGCAAATATGCCAAACGCATCGCCTACTGAATCACCTAGTATTATTCGTAATGTGAGTGGATCGGGGAGAGTTCACTAAAACCAGAAGTTTACTGCACTAACAGATGGATAAGTACTAAATCGAATTATGCACTAAAGTTTTCGCTTATACTACTTGTACTTTGAACCTCCTACCGGTTCATGTAATTCGAGATAAGATACCATCACTCACACGCTAAGATATCAACATCACTCTTGTAAACAAAATATTCAGAGAAGACATGGTACGTCTGACATACAAACTGTTAGGAATACTGCCTGATGGCGTTAATGTGACCTTTTTTCATGCAGAAAAGTTGTGCTAATTGCTGGATCCTTTTGAACATTAGCGCACTTTGTATATCATTGTTTTAAAAGTGACAAATACTTTGGAGACTTCGAACGAACCTGTCCTGAACTATGCGTTGCATTGCATCACGGACCGGAGTTGTGTATTTAGAATTATCAGAACTTAGTATGCGCCCTTCTATTTCCATTTGAGAAAGGTAATGCAGATATCTGTAAAGATCACGATGACAATTCACTCATCAGAATCGGTCATAACACTAGACTGGCTATTCATAAATGGCGATCCGATCACAGCTTCTTTTGATGACAACGATCCTATCCGAAATGTGACATGTCAATGGGGTAGTAAAACAAATTCCAAATTGAATAATCTAAAGCAAATATTTCAAATGTTCATGATTACGTATAATTGAAATATTTATTTTTGGCCTTAAATCTATTTGCTACAGTTATCGGGTATCGTGCAATACGCCATCCAGCATTAGCACATTTATGGAGATTTGTATGGGCGGCGTCTTGAAAAAAAGCTGCTTCCCTCAAAAATGTAATAGAAGGTCCAAAGCTTGCAGTTTTAAGAATATCATTTTAAAAAAAGATAACTTGATAACCTCGAGGGATCAAAAACTGGATCTTAAAGACCTAGGATGCACCGTTTCTGAATTAGGTGAGATGGTAACTTGTGTTGTGAATTGCATTTGCCCATGCAAATTGGTAAGATATTTCACAATTTCAGAGTTTTCATCTTCAAAGTGTTTCACGCACGCCTGAGGAGTAATTCCCTATAAAACAGAAACACACTTTCTTCATGACAATTCCTTCTGATAACTGCTACAAAGCCTTTTTCTTTCCTTACCACATTGTATATAGAAAAAGTAATTAATGCTACTCGGTTTCTTTACTCTAGATTTTGTTATTTCTAGATAGAAATCTAGGTAAATGACTGTGTTCTAGAAGTCTATGTAATTTGATGGACTTGAGAGGCAAAAACATGTTTCTATGAAATGAACATTTGAAGATGCTAATAAAATACATTCAAAATAATTATATTCATTAGGTTTTTTACAAGGATGTAATAGAAGACTCAAGGAACTTTAAAAGGTCACAACAAATCTTCAAAGTTCTAATAGCTCAACTTTTCCATTTTATTTTCAGTATCAAATTGAATAGTGTTAACAAGACAATTTAAAAAAAATGAGTATTCAACATGAAATATTTTCAGAAAAAATACCATGATTTATGTAAATGCATCCAGCATTTGAGCCTGTTCATGAAGCAAACTCATGTCATAACCTACTAATAATGGAACATAAGTCCCAGTACATCAACCATTCCAGAAAATTCTATTTCCATTAAATTTGCAGTTTCTTCAAAACTAATTTTCTGATTTCAAAATGGATGTTATATATTTTTCAATTAAAAGGATTCTGTCAATGAGATGGTTCTGATGACAGACAAAAGTTCAAATATCAAATTATTCCAACAGTTCATAAGCACTTAATAAACAAAATTGAAACTAAGTAAATGATTAAAGACGCATAAGACAAGCTAAACAACACACACTAA